ATTTTAATAATTGACTAATGCATGTATATATTTTCTGTCGCCATTATTAATCAAAATATTAGTCGTAAAACTTTTGAAAAATTGTAGCATTTTTGCATTCAAAAAATTAGACACAAACAATTTTCATTATTTAAATTTAAATTTTTGAAGTAAACTGATACTTGAGTACTACACAATTGTAATTTGTGTTAAAAAAATTAGAAAGAAAGCAATACGAATTTAAATAATTTAAATTACTTTTTTGAACTTATTCAAATTCAAGAAGCGAACCTTTTTTCCGCCTCTTCCAGGCTAATCCTTAAACGTTCAGAACTAACTTCTAGCTCAGTCTTCTGCCTGCTAAACCTCTCGCATTCGTCAACTTTTTCAGCTAATTTCAATTCTAACTGTTCCAACGTTGACTTCATTTCACTAAAAAACAAAATTTGCCAATTTTTTTCTAACATTTTTTGATTTTTTGTCTTTTTTCTGCTCTCTGAACTAAATGTAATCAATTCGTAGGTAATTTTTTTCAATTTACTTCAAAGCTAGTTGTATTTACTTGACATCTTCATGACCTTTGAAGTAAAAATAATTCAGAGTTTATGCGTATCTTACTTGAATGCATCAGAAGACATGGAGGTTTCACTTTGTGTTGCTGCTATTCTTTCTTCCAACTCACTAACTTTTTTCCATGCATCTAATTTTTCGTTTTCCAAAGTACCGATTCTGTTAAATTACCGATTTTTAATAAAATGAGTTTATATTTGAATTAAAATATATACATATTTGAAATGAGTTTATAAATTTTGAATTAGTTTATATTTGAATGAAAAGCACTCTATACATGTGTCGAAAGTAAGCTCTGAATACTGCGCATACTGAAATTAATTTTAGAACATTTATTTTCTGGAATGAAATTGAGAAAGCTGCTGCTCATTTCGAGGCTAAGGTTAAGGTTGAGATAAGTAATTGAGCCTTAATCTCTCATTTTAATTTTCTGGATATTACTTAAATTGTTATATTATTTTTAAGATAATTGTAATTTTATGTTCGTACTGTGCTCTAATTCGCATACTTTGGAGTTCAAACTTTTACTTTTAATAATCACAAATCATTTTGTACGTTAGTTTAGAGCTCAAAAGTTAATATTTGTTTTTATAAGTGAAAACAAACTTAACATTCTTTCGTTACCTATTATTAGCGTCTTCAAGCCACTGACGATGTTCTCCCAAACTCCATTCAACCTCACCTTTGACCTTCTCAATTTGACAAATGTAATCATTCTTTTCTTCCACTTCTCTTCGTAAATTTTCAATCACTGACTTCAATTCCCTGAAAACAGCCATTACATAATTATTCAAAATATTATGAAGTCTTCAACAATTACTTTTGTCATTTAAGCTTATTTATTATTTCGACTTCCTGTAAATTATAAAACAAAATTTCTAAACTCTTTAATCGATTGGCTTGACCCTTGACATTAAATGTGGTTAAAAGTTAATAGATATAAAAGGTATTAACTAATAAATTACATTATTTCTTGCGAAGTCGTAACTTCAGCAAGTCCATGTTCCTTATCCTCAACTTTCTTTGCCATTTCTTCAATACTTTGGTCTTTTTCTCGATTCAAATTATCCAAATAACTTGCTCTAAAATATAATTTAAAAACAAGTATTAATTACTTTAAAGAATTAGAAGTTGCGCATAGAGAAAACTTTATACTTTTATTCAATAACTTTCACAGTAATATTTGTATTTTTAAAACGACAAATGCGCTGACTGCTTTGTACAATGACTTATACGCTGCTTGTTCTTACTCCAAATTATCTACACCGATCAATAACCTATACTTATTAATACGCTCTTTTTAACAGTAAATTTCAAAAAAGTTTATAAAAATATAGAAATGTAAAAAATTTTAACCTATTATTAGCATCTTCCAACCACTGTTTGTGCTCTCCAAGACTGCACTCCAAATCGTTAACTTTTTGAATTAATTTATTTATTTCTTCATTTTTAGCGCTTATTTCGTCCTTAAAATGCTTTAACTTTTAATAAAGTCAATTATTAAATGACCTTTTAAGTGAACAACTTCAGCTAATACATTAAAAGTGCTAAATTTAAAAATAATTAATAAAATAACTTTTTATGATTTTTTACAGTGACAATTTTTAACGCATTTTTTACTCATACAAAAATTGAAATTGACTACCAAAATTTATCTTCGAATAAATGTAAAAAATGTATTACTAAGCGTAAAAATTAAAAATAATTTGCATAAAAGTTTATTGATTTAGTTTTACGAACTAGTTGAAATTTTTGAGTAGAAAGTTTGGTGCTCATTTCTTCGTTAACATTTTCTAAACTTTCTGATCTGAGCCGTTCTTCGTCTAACATTCTTTCTAGA